GGGAGTGTAAAGGACCCCCCGCCCATAAAACGCCTTTTCAGTTTATATGTGGCTCCTAGTCACCATTGATTTGTATCCAGCAGCTTTACCAGCCATCCTAGCAAACACAGAACGAATACACACTGCAAGATCCCTTCTTCTCCCTGATTCAGGTTCATCCCAGCTAGCCCCTATCCCCAGCAGTTGCCCCCTCCATCAAACCTCAGAGATGTCTCATCTACTCAGCAACCTGGCATGGCTTGCATTTCCACACCCCCAGGCCTCCCTGCCTAGACTCTCTCCCTCCACTTCTAGCTACACAACAGCTTGAGCAAAGGAGACTTTTTAAAAAAACAATTCCCCCCTATCAAGAAATCCCCCAACAAGGGCCCTAGCACTGCAGCAACTAGGAGACTTGCTACCTAACTAAGGGCAGCCCAGCCCTCAGACAGGCCCTTTCAAAGGCTTGGACACCTTCCCTTCCTGCTCTCCAATCAGCTCTCCCTATTAGCCAGACTCAGTGATGGCAGGTGTAGCCCATCTCCCACTCAGAACTTGTCTACACAGAGTTGTGTCTGAGTAACGGTTCCTGATTTACTCCACGAGTGGCCACCCTGATTCTGGAATAAGGGTGCCTTGTTCCAGTTTAGCTTAACCTAGCAGGTCAATCAGGAATAACTCCACATGTAAACAGCCCCTCAGACTCACAAGCCCCTGCTTGTGACCACTTCCCAGGCTTGGCTTTATAGTGTTGCTTGTTTACTGACCCTCCCTAGTTTTGCAGGGCAGGGAATCCCAGCTCTGCGCCAGGGTCTAGCACCTTCCCCCAAACTCTCTAGCTAGCTGGCTGTCTCCTTGGGAAGTGAGGTGCTTTTCCCCACCCCTCCCCTGTTTAGCTACATGAGTGGGGAGTTGAGGTGCTTCCCCATCTGGTTTTCCTGTGCTGCCTCTGTTTGACCCAGCTGGTAACCCTCTTCTATCACCACCATAGCAAGCAGGGGCACCCACTTTCTTATAAATGGGATGATGGCGGCTCAATCCTGCAAGGTGCTGAGCACTCCTGTGAGATGCCAAGTGCCCTCAACTTGCTGACATCAGTGGGACGAAAGGGCCCTCTACCCCTGGCAGGATGAAGCCCTAGGGCAGGGTCAAGGTGACCATCTCAAATTGCAATTCACTAAAAGCAAAGGTGGCCTGTTTCCCCTCCCCTAACCCTTGATATTGTATCTGAGACTTGAAGTTGCAGTGGTGCTGACTGGAGGAAGTGTGTGATCCTGTGCTAAAGAGGGGAGGAATCTCTAGTGACAGATGCCCCCATTACCATAGGCTGGGACATGCCTTAGCACCACTTTCACCTGGAGAGGGGCTCAGAACAACTCCCCCCAGCTCCAGTTAGCCCTGACCATTTCACAGCACAGCTGAGCTCCTTGGCCTTTGTGGCTGGTACTTAGTGCCATAACTGGCCAAATGGGAACCCCAGCATCCCGGAACGCTGGGAGAGGTTGGAACCTGATCCAGTTTACAACTAATCCCCATCTCGAGAGTAGCGCCCTGGCTGGAAAGCACCATCTCCAGATTGAGCCAGAGCATCCTGTTTGTGCTTATCGAAAGAGCTGGGCAAAGAGTGGCATGAAACAACCCAAGTGAGGGAAGCAATGCGATGACGGCACAGCCCATCTCCCCACTGTGAGAGCGGCAGGTCATTTAGTGCTGAGCTGCCTGCCAGTCCATCCTAATTAAGGCACCACTCATCTGTCAGATGGAGACTACCATGATAGAATGAGTGATTACCAAGTATTGATCCACTCCCTGCCTGCAGGGACTAATTTGTTTATTGATGCCTGCTGGATCATTACGGCAGGCCTGAGCCCAGGGATAGATTGGGCTTAAAGGGGTGGGTTACTTTCAGAACGGAGAGCAATTAGGGTGACTAATGCAGCCATTTGAGTAGGCAGATATGCAGCACATGTCCCTGGCTGGGTGGGGGAAAGTTGCTACATTCCCAAGCATTGGGCTCACCCTTATCTGGTGCAGCAGTTGTCCTGCTTCTGATGATGGCCGTTTGATAGTGTCCAGCACGGGGCTGGACATGGGCTGTAGGCAACAGGTCAGATCAAACTGGCAGGAAAGGCAACAGCTCCAGCTGAGCTGCACGGTCTGCTTTGCAATAAAGCCAAATGTAGCTGGCACATGGATCCAGTGTGGAAAACTCAGGCCCAGCGCAGTTGAAGTGACAGGAGCCAGTTTTACCTTGGCCTTGGCTGTTTATGGTAAAAATTCTTGGGCAAGATTTTTAGAAATGTCTAGTGAGTTTGGGCACCACCATTTGTGGGGACCTAACCTGAGCCTCAAAGTGGCTGAGCACTTGCCCTCTGAAAATCACAGCCCTTCTAGTTGGCTCAGTTTGGGCATGCAACAATCACGAGCCACGTCTGAAAATGTTGGCCCTTCTGACTGACGTAGCTCTTCAGGAATTTCACAGCTCTTTGCAAACATGAATGAGTTAAGCCTCACCCACCTAGATGATATTGAACAACTGCATTATCCCCAAGTTACAGGTGGGAAACTGAGGCACAGAGCACCTCCAAGTATCTGAATCCCCTTGACAAGTTTTGTGTTTTTACCATCGCCCTTTCCTAGTTTGTAAGATTTTCTTTCCTGACCCCGTTACTGGCTGAAAGACCCCCCCCATGAGCAGAGGAAACCATGAAACTGAATATAAACAAAATGCTGTTGAATGCATAAAGTAAACAGACAGAAAACCAGAGCAAATATATATTTTCTCTAATCTGCATGTATGGTTATCTTAGCGGGTCAACTTCTACCAACAGAAAAAAAATTGACAGGGGGGAGGGATAGCTCAGTGGTTTGAGCATTGGCCTGCTAAACCCAGGGTTGTGAGTTCAATCCTTGAGGGGGCCATTTGGGATCTGGGGCAAAAATTGGGGATTGGTCCTGCTTTGAGCAGGGGGTTGGACTAGATGACCTCCTGAGGTCCCTTCCAACCCTGATATTCTATGATTCTATGACCAGACTGTACAAAACAGGGGTTCTCAAACTGGCGGTCATGAGGTTATTACATGCGGTGGGTCACGAGCTGTCAGCCTCCACCCCAAACCCCACTTCACCTCCAGCATTTATAATAGTGTTAAATATAAAAAAAGTGTTTTTAATTAATGTGTGTGGGGGGTCACACTCAGAGGGTTGCTGTGTGAAAGGGGTCACCAGTACAAAAGTTTGAGGACCACGGGTATAAAACATATTTAAAACATACCTAACAATATAGAACTAGTCCATATAGCTACTTAACCATTAGCTAGTCTAAGTCCTGAATCATTTACTGTAGGGTTATAGTAAATAGTAGGTTTCAGAGTAGCAGCCGTGTTAGTCTGTATCCGCAAAAAGAATATGAGTACTTGTGGCACCTTAGAGACTAACAAAGTTATTAAAGCATAAGCTTTTGTGGGCTACAGCCCCCTTTGTCGGATGGATAGAATGGAACATATAGTAAGAAGATATATATATACATACATACAGAGAAGGTGGAAGTTGCCATACAAACTGTAAGAGGCTAATTAATTAAGGCGAGCTATTATCAGCAGGAGAAAACAGTAGTTAATTAACATCAGTTTTATGTATGAGGTACAATATCCGTTAGCTAGTTACACCTGAATCCATGATTTTTTTACAATTAGTAGTAGATGTTTGTTTACCAATGGGGCATGGGGGGAAAACTGGAAACAGAAAGCCCCTCTCCACCCCACAAAGGCCATGATACTCTTCCAAGGTCAAGCTCCAGCCGTGGAGACACCAAACCGCCACTCCGCTCCCAGGAGACTGTGCAGCTTTCAAAATATGAGCGTGTGGTGCTGTGCTCCTTGCACTTGGCACTGCTGCCCCCTTTGGGCTCTTGGTCTTTGGCTTCACCCTTTACCGGGGTTACCCTATAGGAACAGGCTTGCGAAAGCTAAAAGGCTACAACAGCTATACCGAGGACAACATTAAAGTTCCATGCACTCTTTATGAGAGCAAATAGGATTCCAGATGCCTGAAGAGCATCTAGCTGTGCTCAGAGGAAAATGCAAATCTCAAAATGTAACTAATGAGGTGCTAGAATACAGAAAGAAGTAAACTGTGCTGATCATTCAGTTGGTTTTCTAAGCATGCTGATTCATTTAGAGTTCAATGTCCCTGGACTGGCTGTGTTTAACTCCCACCGAGGGAAGCACAGAGCTCTTAGTCAAGAGTGGCTGAACTTTACATCAATCACAGAGGCTAACCTAGAGAGAAGATTGGCAGCAGTTCAGAATGTATAGTTAAAGCATTCAGCTGCTACAGGCTCTTCTGTGTTTATTTGCACATGGGTCAGAGAGTCAGAAACGGAACTGAACCTAGCTGCCTCTTATAATTAATTTTTGTTTGGGTTTTTTTAGTAACTCAGGCTGTTCCAGCTCAGTATTTAAAAGCCTTAGCACCAAGCATTGAAGTTAACATCCTGTGAAAATGGTGGTGGGTAGGCTGGACAGCTGCAGGTTTCATCCTGCATGACTCAGCGGACAGATTTACATGGACCAGGACAGCAAGTAGAAAATGCCATAATCAGATGGGGCGATTAGTTTCTTTGAACTGGCTGTTTACATTCTGCATTAAGGTTAAATCTGTCCGACCCTCCTTTCATTCATTGCCCTTGGCAGTCATACCGAAGCCAGATGTTGCCATGATCGTATTCAGACAGAGTGCTGGGACCCTGACCCAGGAGGTGGTGCGTAGACTCATTGGCACAATGCTCTGGAAGCAGGGCTCAAATGACCTATGATTCCTTGCAGCTTGGGAACAACTCTGTGGCAGTAGAAAATGGATCCTGCTCATGGACATTAACTCCCATGAGTGTGGGAGTGGGGCACTGCCCCCCCCCCCCATGCAGCCCCATTGGCCTGATAGGAGCTGCCCCCCATACAGAAGTCAAACTGTGCCTCTGAACCTGGAAATGAGTTGGCTAACATCTCTCTCCCTCTCCCCAGTGCGATCAGTACAAGAAGGGGATCATTGCTGGCTCAACATGCAAAGACTTGTGTGAGGAGCACACCCTGGTGTTCCAGCAGTGTCTTTCCTCATCCCCCACTCAGCAGGTAGGTGGGGCTGTCTGAGTTCTGGGAACTTAGCTTGGTGGACAAATGAGTCTCTTCCCACAGGGGGGGAAGTAGGCTACTGATGCCCCTTTAAGATAGATGTATGCCATGCACACCCCCTACTCCTCAGAGCCTAGTTTTCACCATTTTTGTCACAAATGTCTTGCTTGGGAGGTCTGGGCTGAGCTCCTTAGAGACCTCAGTGGATGCTGTTTCCTTCTCCTGGAGCTGTAGGCCAGCCTGTGCTGCTAAGTAACCTCATCCATCCCCTGGCCAGTCTCCTACAGTCAAAGCAGGGCTGGGGGTGGGGGAACATTTAGGGCCTGATCCACAGTCCATGAAAGTTCCTGGGAGCCTTTCCATGGATTTTGGATCAGGCCCTTGGAGATGAGGCAGGTCAACCAGCTTTTCTAGCCTCTGGTGGCATTGACAAGAAATAATGGCTGTACGGGGGCCATTAGAAGAGTGGGGACGCAATGCTTACCTGAACTCTCTGGAGTTGGCATCCAAGATCCCCGTTAAATAAAACGGAGAAGACTTGGTGCAATGCTGGGCTACCATGGCAGTTCTGTGGAGCTGCTTTTCAACCCCTCCCTTCATAGGTGGGTGAACACACTCCCCAGACCACCTCCACTGTGGTTACCCCCGTGTGCCTCCGCACTGGCTGCTTCAGTGGAAAGGCCAAGGACCAAGGGGGCCACCCTGAACCCTTCTCTTCCTTGCCTGGGCCATGTTGGCTCCACAGCGTAGGCAAAGCTTGCACCACCACTGCCCATCTGGTGCCTATTATGCAGATATAGGGCTGCATGGCTGCAAACCCACCCTCTTACTGTTTGCCAATACAAAACTCACTGGAATTGGTGGAATGAATCTTACTGATATCCAATGGGCCCCACAGCCACTGGGCTCTCTTGGGAACCCATGAAGAACGCACCAATTAATCATTTGCATTTGCTTTCACCCAGTCAATCTTCCCAGGGTCACTTACCTCTGCTTTGGTCCAGGTTTACAGGGGCCGCTGGATGGAGAAAGAAGTGATCATTAAATGTGGTATTGAAGATGCCTTAAAGGCCGACAGCAACCCCGATTCAGTGTCCAAGAGGGACCTGGTTCTCTTTGACAAGCCTACAAGAGGGACATCCATGGACGAATTCAGAGAGATGCTCCTGAACTTCCTAAAAGTCAGTGTTGCTGAGCCTCCCAAGCTCTCGCATTGCGTTTTTCTGGACAGGGTATTATCACCTCCATTTGGAAGTCCTTGGGACCAGCAATAGTGCTTGCCAGTGGCAAGAAGCCTAAGCTAAATGCATTCGTCTATCCCCTGTAATCTTTGAAAAGATCCAGTCCTGTCTGAAGGACTCTGATCCCCACTGTTTGTTGTAGAGTGAGGCTTCGTGTGATATGTCATATTCAAGATAATCCCCAGAGCAAATACTGTAGGAACCACTAGATAAGGATATACATCCAACAAAATCACTGTGTTAGGTGCGACGGTACATTTCATTCTCATTTTGTTCTGTTTTAGTGTGAGTCTCTACCACTCCTGTGCAGTCTAGCAGTAGTGTTTGAACCTAAATCAGGGTGTTTAAGAGGACATCCTCTTATTTTCACTTGAGATGTATTTACTCTTTTGTAATTAGAATATAGATTTGACTGTAATAGATTTCCTACGAAGAAGGGGTTGGTGGCTCTGATCCCAGATTGGCTCCAACCCGAGGCTGGCTCCAACTGGTTTAGAACCACTACACTCCAAGGGTGTTGGACAGGCACAAAGGTGTGTCAAGAGCATAGCCAGGGAATGCTGCACTCTGCCTATCCCCGTGAGGACTTATCCCACATTAGAGCAGCTTTCAGCAGCAAAATCACTCTGAGAATCTAAAGGGCTGTAAGCAGCTGGCTGCAGCAGAGTGCGTGTCTCAGGGTTGTTCTAGTATTTTTACCTCACTCAGAGAGCAGCACCCTAATACTCTACCCTGAATTAATGTACACAATGGGTAAAATTTGAAGAGCTGATGCAATTTCTTATTGGTTTGCAGGCTAACCTAGGAGATCAGACATCACTTGCAGCCTTGGTGAACCAAATCATCACCATGGCAGATGTGAACAGAGATGGGAAAGTGTCTCTGGCAGAGGCCAAATCCATCTGGGCTCTACTTCATCTGAACGAATTCCTGCTCATGCTCTCCTTGCATGAGAAAGAGCACACCTCCAAATTGCTGGGACACTGCGGGGACCTGTATGTCACGGAGAAGATCCCTCACAACTCCCTCTATGGTACTAATGTCCCTCACTTCTTCCAGCCATTGCTGCCTTCAGCCATACACCGGATTATTCACCAGTGGTTTGCCCCAGCCTGGCCCAGGAGAGCAAAAATCGCCATTGGCCTTTTGGAGTTTGTGGAGGAGATATTCCATGGGACATACGGGAACTTCTACATCTGTGAAACCAGCTTTAAGAACGTGGGCTACAATGACAAGTATGACTTCAAAATGGTCAACCTGAGGAGGGTGGCAACAGAGATGACAATCAGAGGTTTCCTCAAGGGACGTCACTGTGAGCAGAACGTGGACTGCACCTACGGGAAGGACTGCATGGCGACTTGTGACAAACTCATGAAGCAGTGCAAGAGCGACATGGTCCAGCCCAACCTGGCAAAAGTCTGCGGGCTGCTGCAGGATTACTTGCTGTACGGAGCTCCATCTGATTTGAAAGAAGAGCTGCAGAAGCAGCTACGAACCTGTATGACCCTTAGCGGCCTGGCTAGCCAGATGGAAGTGCACCATTCACTTGTGTTGAACAATCTCAAGACCTTGCTTTGGAAGAAGATTTCAAATACCAAATATTCCTAACAGGGTAGCCGTGACTGTGGGCTATAGTGTTGGTATCCAGTTAAGGACAGAAGGTCATGCCTCCTCATTCCACCAGAGGAAATGCACCGGAAGCAGGTAGTTCACATGGCTGCAGCCCTTTTTCCTTCATGAAACCGCCACCGCCAATAAAGCATCAGTGACCCGTACTACTTAGCAAAATCATCAATAGCGTGCTTTAGGTCTGCAAAGAACATGATGCAAAGTAGAAATACCAACAGCCTGGCTGAATAGGTTTGGGAGAAGAAGATAGAGGAACCAGAGTCGAGCTGCACCTCTTTCCTGCTAATCAAGGAACAATCACAAGTGCAGAAAGAGAATGAATCATCATGCTGTAATTGTCATATCTTATTTTGATGAACACTTCTGATGTAAATAAATATGTGAGCAGCCCTGGTACATCAATGGCAAACAGCCTTTTAAATACCAGCATCCTGGTGATTCTTAAAAGGGTAGATTATCCCACCCTGGAGTCTGCACAATTTATTTTAACATCTGAATTTGATTCTGTAAAATTCAGACACCGTGTTGGGAGCAGATAGACAAGCTCACCCACACACACTTTGAGTCTGGTGGTTACACACCTTCCTGAACTGCCTGACCACATAGTAGGTAGGTCCTGGCGAATTCTAGGTTTTCTAGGAATTCTAGGTTTTGCTACGCTTGCGAGAGGAGCATTGCCTGGTGGACCGCACCATTACCCATTTGCATTGTTTAATAATGTATTAAAATGATTACAGTTGAGGGAAAACACTGATGGCTATAACATAAGGATAAAACAGACCTATACAAATACAGAAAGTCCCCAGACAAAGACACGAACCAAATTAAGAGTGGCATATGCGCTATATAGTATACTGTATTCCCCGTATCAAGAGAATAACAGTGCTCAAACACCAGTTCAGGTCCAAATCTGCCTCTTGGTTTAATTGGCACTTCTAAAATTGACAGGATTTGATTGGAAAGGTAAAAGACTAATCCCCCATTAATCCACTGCTCTTCCCCTGCCCCCAAATAAAAATAAAAGAAAGGGGAAAAAAATTCATAGGCAGGAGTTGTAGACCAAGCTGGATGAGCAAGCATCTTAGAGAGGTAATTAAGAAAAAGCAGAAAGCATATAGGGAGTGGAAGAAGGGAGGGATCAGTAAGGAAAGCTACCTTATTGAGGTCAGAATATGTAGGGATAAAGTGAGACAGGCTAAAAGTCAAGTAGAGTTGGACCTTGCAAAGGGAATTAAAACCAATAGTAAAAGGTTCTATAGTCATATAAATAGGAAGAAAACAAAGAAAGAAGAAGTGGGACCGCTAAAAACTGAGGATGGAGTGGAGGTCAAGGATAATCTAGGCATGGCCCAATATCTAAACAAATACTTTGGCCTCAGTCTTTAATAAGACTAAAGAGGATCTTAGGGATAATGGTAGCATGATAAATGGGAATGAGGATATGGAGGTAGACATCACCATATCTGAGGTAGAAGCGAAACTCAAACAGCTTAATGGGACTAAATCGGGGGGCCCAGATAATCTTCATCCAAGAATATTAAAAGAATTGGCACAAGAAATTGCAAGCCCATTAGCAAGAATTTTTAATGAATCTGTAAACTCAGGGGTTGTACCGTATGATTGGAGAATTGCTAACATAGTTCCTATTTTTAAGAAAGGGAAAAAAGTGATCCAAGTAATTATAGGCCTGTTAGTTTGACATCTGTAGTATGCAAGGTCTTGGAAAAAATTTTGAAGGAGAAGGTAGTTAAGGACATTGAAGTCAATGGTAAATGGGACAAATTACAACATGGTTTTACAAAAGGTAGATCGTGCCAAACCAACCTGATCTCCTTCTTTGAGAGAGTAACAGATTTTTAGATAAAGGAAACGCAGTGGATCTAATTTACTTAGATTTTAGTAAGGCGTTCGATACTGTGCCACATGGGGAATTATTAGTTAAATTGGATAAGATGGGCATCAATAGGAAAATTGAAAGGTGGATAGGGAATTGGTTAAAGGGGAGACTACAACGGGTCCTACTGAAAGGTGAACTGTCAAGTTGGAGGGAGGTTACCAGTGGAGTTCCTCAAGGATCGGTTTTGGGACCAATCTTATTTAATCTTTTTATTACTGACCTGGGCACAAAAAGTGGGAATGTGCTAATAAAGTTTGCAGATGATACAAAGCTGGGAGGTATTGCTAATTTAGAGAAGGACAGGGATACCCTACAGGAGGATCTGGATGACCTTGTAAACTGGAGTAATAGGAATAGGATGAAATTTAATAGTGAGAAGTGTAAGGTCATGCATTTAGGGATTAATAACAAGAATTTTAGTTATAAGCTAGGGACGCATCAACTAGAAGTAACGGAGGAGGAAAAGGACCTTGGAGTATTGGTTGATCATAGGATGACTATGAGCTGCCAATGTGATATGGCTGTGAAAAAAGCTAATGTCATCTTGGGATGCATCAGGAGAGGTATTTCCAGTAGGGATAAGGAGGTTTTAGTACCATTATATAAGGCACTGGTGAGACCTCACCTGGAATACTGTGTGCAGTTCTGGTCTCCCATGTTTAAGAAGGATGAATTCAAACTGGAACAGGTACAGAGAAGGGCTACTAGGATGATCCGAGGAATGGAAAACTTGTCTTATGAAAGGAGACTCAGGGAGCTTGGCTTGTTTAGCCTAACTAAAAGAAGGTTGAGGGGAGATATGATTGCTCTCTATAAATATATCAGAGGGATAAATACCAGAGAGGGAGAGGAATTATTTAAACTCGGTACCAATGTGGACACAAGAACAAATGGATATAAACTGGCCACTAGGAAATTTAGATTAGAAATTAGACGAAGGTTTCTAACCATCAGAGGAGTGAAGTTTTGGAATAGCCTTCCGAGGGAAGTAGTGGGGACAAAAGATCTATCTTGCTTTAAGATTAAACTCGATAAGTTTATGGAGGAGATGGTATGATGGGATAACATGGTTTTGGTAATTAAATATTCATGGTAAATAGGCCCAATGGCCTGTGATGGGTTTTTAGATGGGGTAAGATCCAAGTTACCCGGGAAGGAATTTTCTGTAGTATCTGGCTGATGAATCTTGCCCCATATGCTCAGGGTTTAGCTGATCGCCATATTTGGGGTCGGGAAGGAATTTTCCTCCAGGGCAGATTGGAAGGCCCTGGAGGTTTTTCGCCTTCCTCTGTAGCATGGGGCACGGGTCACTTGCTGGAGGATTCTCTGCTCCTTGAGGTCTTCAAACTACAATTTGGGGACTTCAATAGCACAGATATAGATGTGAGGTCTTTTTTAGGAGTGGTGGGTGAAATTCTGTGGCCTGCATTGTGCAGGAGGTCAGACTAGATGATCATAATGGTCCCTTCTGGCCTAAATATCTATGAATTCTATGAATTTCAAACAATTTTTCAGTAGACAACAAAAACAAATCTCATTTGGCTGTCTAAACATTACCTGCTATTGAAGTACTGACCCTTTGTTTCCATTTGGATAATAATAATCCTTTTAATAATCTTATAATAAACTTATAATAATCCTTTAACATTCACAAGTGCTCTGAACACATGGATGGAGTGGGGTGTTTAGCTTATGTAAACTATTGTTAGTTGGTTCTCCATTCCCTGCACCATTTTTTCCATTCTGATAGACTGTATGCTGGTGATCCGACGGTAGCTTGGTGAAGTGAAGCACACATCTGAAGTACAATCACTAGAAAAAAAAATTCTGTCCCACAGGATATATGGCCTCTGAAAGCAATCTTTAATGTCACAGCTGTAAAGTTATGAGTCCTTTGGAGTGGAGATATCAGTCCCTACTTTTAGTTCTATAAGACCATCATTATCACTCAACTGTTATTTATGGGGAAAATGTTTTAGTGGCAACAATGCTTTAAATCTAGCTTGCAGCCAGTTTAACTTCTTGTCCCAGAGCCAGGCCAGCTTTGCACTACAGTAATTCATACACCAGAAAACTAAGCATCTTTTGTGGGGGTATTTTTGTTGTTTGGGGTTTCAGATTCATTGTGTTATGTCCATAAAAGTTACTCACACTTTTTAAATACTATAAAACTACAGTATGTAGAAAAAAAGAAAAGAAAAGGAACCTAGAAATGCAAAGGCAAGGCCAACAATCCGAACTTAATGCATGCTATTGCATTAAAAGGGCACTCGGTTTAAGAGTTTTTAAAGGATTCTGCCTAGTTAAGTGCCAGATTTCCCATTTTTTGCCAGTTGAATCAGAAGTGAATTTAAACAATTTTTTATAAAATAAAAAAAATTGGAATGGTTCAAATGGATATTACTTACGGTACTGTGAATACATCAGTATAATTCACTTTAGATTAATTGGGTAGGCCCCTTTTCTCTTCAGACTGACACTTAAATGAAGCTCAAACCCCAAGCCAGGAAGAAAGTCAGTTTAAACTTTAGTCTTTTTATGGTTTCACTATCCATTTGCTAATCTGAAAATGCCTGGAAAACACATGAATATAGCATTTAATGTAATTTATCAGGAGCACACACAGAAGCAGTGTAAAGGTCAGAATAGCTTTTTATTCTTTATTGCACCTTGGCTAAACAGGTTACAGAAAACATTTACAGTTGCAAAAATATATTAACATCACACTATATTATATTCACATTCATGGTCTGTAGCGCATGGAGCGTCTTTGAGCAAGTGCATGGCAGAGGATCAAGCTATGTCTAGCAAACTTCAAGTGCAGAGATTCTAAATGCTTTCTTTTTCTGCTGTCAGGTTTGTTAGAAAACAAACCTACAGGCATCATCTGCAAACAAAGTGCACCAGCATATTAGAATAAGAACTTTAAATAAATGCATTCCTCAAAATGCTGTGCTAGACACTGCAATACTTCAGTACAGGGCTGGCACGCAACATTTTGGCACCCGAGGCGGGGAGCTCAAATGACGCCCCCATTCCCCCTTGCTTGGGCCAAACCTTTGAAATGTCTCCATTCTGCCTTCTTCCTGTTCTACTCCTCTCATGTTACTGCTCTGCTACCTACCCCCAATAAAGGAGAACTAACAACTTAAAATGCCTTGTTCAAAAATTTTAAGTAACACAACTTTCAAACACCTGAACAGCAAATGTAACTTTTCTTGTCTGCATAGTGAACACTGGCATTTTTATCTTTTGAATAATCAAAGTGGTGCTTTCCGTGCCTTCTTGGTTGCAAAGATTTGAACTGCTTCCTGAAGGTCCACAGTCTGGGCGAGCTCATGCTCTACTGAGATGGTTGCAAGGCCAACCAGCCTCTCCTGTGTCACTGTGGAGCGTAGATGTGATTTTATTAACTTCAACTTGGAGAAGCTGTGTTCTCCACGGACAACTGTTACAGGAAGTGTTAGAAGTATGCGCAGAGCAACAAAAACATTTGGAAAGAGGGTGGTCATCTTATTTGTGCACATATATTCCAGAACAGCCTTTGGAGTTGATCCAGCTGAAATGTATCTTGAAAGGGCTTTCAGTTCATCACCTAAATCACTCACATCAATATCGCGAATGTCATCACGTGTCAACACTGTCTCTGATGCTGTCAAGGTTCCTCCCCCACTCTGAACTCTAGGGTACAGAGTAATATCTTGCATGAAAACCTCCTTAGCTTACTTAGAATCATAGAATCATAGAAGGTTAGGGTTGGAAGGGACCTCAGGAGGTCATCTAGTCCAACCCCCTGCTTGAAGCAGGACCAATCCCCAATTTTTGCCCCAGATCCCTAAATGGCCCCCTCAAGGATTGAACTCACAACCCTGGGTTTAGCAGGCCAATGCACTTTTACCAGCTTAGGTTAAAACTTCCCCAAGGTACAAATTAATTTTATCTTTTGTCCTTGGAATAACCACTGCTACCACCAAACTCTAACTGGGTTTACTGGGAAACATAGTTTGGACACGTCTTTCCCCCCAAAATCCTCCCAACCCTTGCACCCCACTTCCTGGGAAAGGTTTGGTAAAAATCCTCACCAATTTGCATAGGTGACCACAGACCCAAACCCTTGGATCTGAGAACAATGAAAAAGCATTCAGTTTTCTTACAAGAAGACTTTTAATAGAAATAGAAGTAAATAGGAGTAAAGGAATCAGCCCTGTAAAATCAGGATGGTAGGTACCTTACAGGGTAATTAGATTCAAAACATAGAGAATCCCTCTAGGCAAAACCTTAAGTTACAAAAAAGACACACAGACAGAAATAGTCATTCTATTCAGCACAATTCTTTTCTCAGCCATTTAAAGAAATCATAATCTAACACATACCTAGCTAGATTACTTACTAAAAGTTCTAAGACTCCATTCCTGTTCTATCCCCGGCAAAGCAGCATACCGACAGACACACAGACCCTTTGTTTCTCTCCCTCCTCCCAGCTTTTGAAAGTATCTTGTCTCCTCATTGGTCATTTTGGTCAGGTGCCAGTGAGGTTACCTTTAGCTTCTTAACCCTTTACAGGTGAGAGGATTTTTCCTCTGGCCAGGAGGGATTTTAAAGGGGTTTACCCTTCCCTTTATATTTATGACAGGAGCCCTGCATTGCTGGTGTAGGTCTTCTTCAGGTATAGTGAGGAGTTTTGGAATATCATACAACATCCCAAATATACTGCTGTGTTCCTTGAGCTGCATGAAATGTTCTTCAACTGACTGTATTGCACAATTTAGCACCTGGTTAAAGAATTCAACTTTGAATTGTTGTTTGGGGTCTCTTATGGGATTATCCAGTGCCCCGTAATCAAAATGTCATCTTCTTCGGTGACTCTTGTATTCTTGAATGGGTGGGAAAATAGCTTCAGTGTGAAGTTTTCTGCCAACTTCTGTGCACTCTTCAGAACACTTTGAAATCCCTCATCTGACCGCTAAGACTGTAGGTATGACTTTGCTTTGTCCAGTTGTTCCATTGCTCCAGATATATCAAGGTCAACACCTTGGAGTCTCTTGCTTACAACATTTATTTCAAACAGTATATCATGCCACAACACTAAGTCACAAAGAAATTTGAAGTTATGTATGTTTCTGGTGATTCCATTTCTCTCTGCCACTGTTCTCCCACAAACAGTTCCTGTCATAGCATTATCCTCCCTATCTTCCCAATTTGGTTTTTGATAGGCTTTATCGCCTCCACTCGACTTTCCCATCATGTGGCACTCAGTGGTTTCAGTGTCAGAGAGGATGTTCCCAGATGTTGCTTCAAAGTTTGCCATCAACTTGTTGATGCAGTTGATGCAGAGAAAAATACATAGATGCTCTGAATTACATTAAAAAATTCAGCAGCCTCACTAGAAGCTGATGCTGCATCACTGACCACCAAGTTCAATGAATGAGAACTCCATGGGACATAAAAAGCTCGAGGGTTTAACTCTCAGATCCGTGTCTGCAGCACTCCTCTGTTCTTTCCTCTCATGTTGGCACCATTATCATAGCCCTGACCTCTCATGTCAGCTATTGCAATTCCCATATCTTCCAGCTTTTTAAGCAGCACATTTGTCATACCAGCTCCTGTAGTATCATCAATGTCAATACTAGAAAATGCTCTGACAGTCACCATTGCAGGGACATTTTCACTAGGTTCTGTTGTTGTTACAAAACGCACCATTAAAGTCATTTGTTCCATATGGCTGATGTCAGGTGTGCAGTCCAGAATAACAGAGTAATATCTTGCTGACTTCAGATCTGCCACAATCTTCTGTTTGACTTTTGTTGCCAGTAACCGTATGATTTCATTTTGAATTGTTTTTCCAAGGTAGTGGTGTGTGTACATTTCTTGGGTGTCAGAGTAGCAGCCGTGTTAGTCTGTATTTGCAAAAAAGAAAAGGAGTACTAGTGGCACCTTAGAGACTAACCAATTTATTTGAGCATGAGCTTTTGTGAGCTACAGCTCACTTCATCGGATGCATACTGTGGAATGCATCGGATGCTGTAGCTCACAAAAGCTTATGTTCAAATAAATTGGTTAGTCTCTAAGGTGGCACTTAGTACTCCATTTCTTGGGTGGTGACTCTTCTTAGATGCTCCTGAAGTACAGCATCAAACTCAGCCATCAGCTCCATAATTTTAAGGAAGTTTCCACTGTTTGGCACATACAGCTGATCTGAAGTGCCATGCAGTGCTAGGTTTTGAGTAGCAAGCGTTCTCACAATGGCAATGTGCCTTTTCAGAACATTTTGCCAATAAAGAGACTGATGCAATCTTCACTTGATGCTGATCATCTATGGTGGCCTTTAACCTTAGTCTCATCTCAAGCTTTTTCCACCTATGGAATGCTGTCTGGTGATTTGCTGCCTTCTCATGGCATGCCAGATTTCTAGGCAGATTTTTCCAGTCTTCTGTTCCTGTAGAACCCAATGTGGCTGGAACATTAGACTGGAAGAGTTTGCAACACACACAGTATGCAGCATTCTGGGTTTTTGAGTACATAAGCCATGGCCTCTCCACTTTGTCACCATTGGGGATTTCACGCCAGTAATGTGTTGGATGGAAACTTCTATTTTCATTGTCTTTGGGGAACATGAAGTTTTTCACTTGCTGTGGCTCATGCAGTATAAGGAAGTCCCTCAGGCTACTGCTCAAGTGGGTCCACAGTCCTGGATCAACTAGACTTAAGGAACTAAACTCAGCAGCAGCTGTTTCTTGTGCCTCTCCCACACTGTTCTCTGATCTACACTTTTCCTCAGGAATGTACATGGTTACATCCATTTGAGATGGAGATATGGATGCTGCAGTAGCTGCCAGGTCACCTGCACTCTGACTAACTGGAAGATCAGGCATCTCCTCACCACTCACATCCTCACTGGGGCCAGAAGGCTCACTGTGAACATTTGTGTCTATGTATCTCAGGAGAGCTCCGTCCTGCTTAGATAGACCAGCTTCCTTTGCTTTCTTTCTTTTTCTGAATACTGCCCCAGAGGGGATTTTTCTTCTTTCACTCATGACTGCTGTTCTGTGCCAGCTATAGTGGCTCTCAACACTCAGTTGAAGAGGACAAATAAGCAGGCTGGTGGCAGAGCGAGTGAGGGAAGATATCAGTGTCTTAAGGGCCTAACTGGCTCCTCCTACTTCAGTTGACTGCCTGTTCTCCTCAAGTGGGTTCAGGGAAGCAGCAGGAAACAGGAATCTCCCTGAGAAGCTGGTGTTAATCAGTCCAGGCTCCTAGGGGGTGCTAGAGAGGTACATAAGAGGCTCCTCCTCCTCTCTTCTCCCTGCAGCTCCTGCTGCTTTCTGTTATTCCTTCTCACCTTTTCTCCTGCCTGCCTGTTATGTCTCTTGTGCCCTCCTTCCTCTAGCACAGAACTCCACCATCTCTGTGCATCTAGATCAGAGAAAATACATACGCACCAGCAGCAGACACAATTTTCTACACTCTGGGTTCTAGTGGTGCCCCCCCCCCCCCCCCACAGTCTGGCACCACCTCAGGTCACCTCATGGTAAGGCCAGCCCTGCTTCTGTAGCCCAGGAAGGTACATCATACTGCTCCTCAAGCACGTCTGGTTTGACACCTCTGATTGTGGCTCTGAGGGGAAAGAGAGAAGCTGATCAGTCCCTGCATTTAAGACCTTGCTGATCACTGTGGTACAGCATCCGAGTACCTTACACATTTAACATGAACATACATCTCTGTTCTGATTAGCAACAAGATGATCTTGTCCCTATAGCCAATGGACCAAGGATGTTGAACCGAGTCAGTTATGACTCAAGGACTATTCAGAGAATTTCATTTCTCAAAGAAAAACAGCTCTGTAAAATGAAACCCAGTTTTCAGGAAAGTCATTACAACGGCTAAATGAAGAATTCGAAAGGAGCTTACATTTTAACCATTCCGTGCCCAGGAACAGTGGTAGGTGGACATTACTAAGAAACAAAGCAATATGGATTCAGTGGGTAAAATTTATCCCAGCACTGAAGGCCTGGCAGGAGGCCTTATGCAACCTGTAAACCCCAATTAATCCCTTTGACAATGCATTTAAGTCATGAATACGGCTCTGTGCACGCACTGAGCTGAATTTTGTTCCAGTAAAGAATACTCAGGGCCCATTTAACAAAGAGGATACAGGGTTAAGAAGCCATTCACAACCTCGTGACTTGTCCACAGCAAAGGATTCCATTTTTGCGTAGGGTTATTGGGCTGATGGTTCAGTGTTGCTTCAGGACATGGGTCACTCCAGAAAAAGGTTAAAGATCTAATCATTTGAGAGTTTAGCAAGCCATAGGGTCTTTTTTCCAATCCTTTCTTGCTTATGAGGGTCTTCTGCATCCCTCAGAGTCCTCTGCCAGTTCCCACCTTCCCCCCTAATCACCACTGGATAAAGTAAAGCCAACTTGTAGCCATCTTCCTTCCAGCCAAAGAGGAACGAAGCATCAGTAGCAAATCTCAAAATGAGTAGATGCTATTGGTGAGCAATGCAAGGTTCTCTCTCTGCCTCCCACCTCAAAACTAAAAGTTGTGTGTGCTAACCTCACAGCAGGTCCAAGCCCGTATCAATCAGAGCCAAAACTAAATTGTATGATTACATCAGCAAGCAGGCTTGAGATTGAGAATCTATGTTAGTGTAATTTCTATGAGATTCTGCAAGAGATATACAGGGAGGATCAATAACAGAAGGACATCAGGTGCTAAATTAAGCAGTCCTGCACCTGCTCCAACTCTTACTTTAACTTACACCTTCCTATGGCTGCTCAGTATGAAGATGCAGCTATTAGACACCCTTATGAAGTCTAGCTTGGATTTTGGCTCTTGGTATTCAAACTGGGTCTCCAATAGCAACAGAAGCAACAGAGAGCATTACCCAGGATGCCACTGAGCTGCACCAAAGGGAGGATTTTTTCCAAAACCATTTGCAATCAAGGATTTATCATTCTCAGCTGTACTCCAACAGACTAGATCCAGCCTTAGTTATTTACTAAGGTTTTATTACTTTGATATTATCCAAATTGCTTCATCTCCTTTCGGCAAATAATTTCACTAATATGATCGAGTTGTAGTAGTTTCTGGGCATATTCAGTAATAAGATTTGATACAAGAACTCATCTCAGATAATAACACCATTGCCACAAGCTGCAGGTAAAAGCCCATGGCAGCTGATAAGAAAACCTGATGCAGAAACCAAATTATAGCTATATTTATGAAGAGATTATTGCCATATTTAGTAAGCATGAATTCTAAGACAACTCAAGAAGAAAAAGCAAAGGCAGCATAAGCTAAACTGGGTCTCAAGACATGTTTTATGTTTAATTTATAATATGCAACAATGCACATTTTAAACTTTTCTTAAGATACATGCTTCTTGACAGTTTATTAAGTTTCTCACTATATCAGTAACATTTCAACTCTTCCAAGTTTTTTTTTAAATCCTCCAAGTTTGTCTCTTATAGCTTTTCCATCATACTCCTATTTCCATGAGTTCAAGATGTTGGTGGGGTACGTGAATTAAAAAAACAAAACTTGAAATATGAAATCATATGACCATTCCACAAATTATTGTTTGTTCCGTCTTAACACTTGTGTCAAGACTGGAGCTTTCATTCTCTCAAACTCAGACCCTCAAAGGCCTGACACCACATGGCTATTGCGATTTTACAACTGCAACCGTCAGGCTGCTGGAGTGCTTAAATCAAATGTGTTGGAGTCCCAACCTACTACCTCTATTTGCAGTGTCTCAAACGTTTTCAGAGATCCCAATTACATCTGTAGGAAATTACATATAAACACCTGGTAAAGTAACAAACTCAACTGAGGTTTCCATGCTCATCTGTTTAATCCTTAGGAAGATTGGTATTTTCCACATTAGATGAACACATATTGGAACATAGGCTTTTAGTTTCTCTTGAACTCATTTAGCTGTGCCCAGGTCTAGGAACAGTGACTTCCATAAGGTATCGTATGCAATATCTAGCCAGTGAGCTGTAACTAGAGAACTAGCCTAATTTCTTTGTATTCCTTGGTTTAAATCAGACCATTACTTAATTGTGTAGTTAGTCCAAAAAAACCATTATCTTAAATTCTGCTCAACATCTCGGACTGTAATTATGCAGATCATTTCTTTTTTCCCCCCACTCTCTTAATTATCTTGATTCTTATTTGGCTATCATTTTACTACTGACCTCTTTCTGGCACAGCTTTCAATATGCTATACCAGGGGTGGGCAAACTATGGCCCGCGGGATTGCCCCCTGTGGTGCCACAGACCCCGCACCGCTCTCAGAAGTGGTCAGCACCACATCCCTGGGGCCCTGGGGCAAGAGGGATCTGTGCATTGCCCTTGCCTCCAGGCACTGCCCCCCACAGCTCCCATTGGCCAGGAACAGGGAACCATGGCCAATGGGAGCTTTGGGGGAGGTACCTGGAGGCATGGCAAGGGCAGCCCACGAAGCCTGGGCCCCCCCACGCAGGGACATGGTTCCAGCTGCTTCCCAGAGTGGCACTGCGTGGGGCCAGGGCACGCATGCAAGGAGTCTGCCCTGGTGCGTACTGCTGCGACCCGAGCCGCTTTAGGTAAGCGGCACCAGGCCGGAGCCTGAACCCCTCCTGCACCCCAACCCCCTGCCCTGAGCCCCCTCCTGCACCTCAACCCCCTGCCCTGCATACAATTTCCCCACCCAGATGTGGCCCTCAGCCCAAAAAGTTTGCCCACCCCGTGCTATACTATAACCCCACCCCCTCAACCTCTCTTCACGTGGGGTATGAACGGTTAGACAGATGGAAGTTTCAAAAGTACTTTATTTTTCACAATATTTACATCTTGGATATTTGTGATTTAAATGCAATACAGTGATGAAGACTTATTTTAGAGATTATGCCACAGCATGGAATGGCTCTAGATTCTGAGGTATGAGTCAATGTGACCAAAGGTTTTTCTTTCAAAGCATGTCTTACTTTAAAATGTTGGTATTTTCACTGGCTGAAAGTCAGAACCATAGATGAGTCCCCCAGGAAGGTATAGTCCATCTCTGGATTTCTGTCCGGCTTTGGGAAGATAATTATTAACTAGCAGTATTAACATGTTGGGGAATCCACTGAGCGAGTAACCCTTCTGCACAGAAGTGATCTTAATACTGGGCAATTTTTAAATGAGACATTTTTGTTTTACCTAATGTAACTGCATCTCCTAAGACTAGGCATCAGATTCATTGACATGTTCAAACCAAAGCGATAAGCATCTGCTTGAGTCACTGTATTTTAATCAAATGCTAGAATTCTATTTTCTCTGATTTTCTCAAATTTTCGTCTTAGATTTTTTACATTTTCTAGCAGCATAATTCAACTGAACATGATTTTCTGAGGATTTTAAAAAAAGTTATACTTTTAACAAGGTGAAGTTTTAAAATAGCCTCATTAGGCATTTACTACCCTGATGGAACCCTTGATCTAATTAAAGACTTATGAGAAACCAAATATATATTTGAGGGGGATAAAAGAAATCAGGGATTTTAAATGAAACATTCACATCTTAATGCATGAATCTTTCCACAGAACTGCAGCCGTATACACCACAACCTTATTGACATTCTTTTAAGAAGCCACTGCTATCGGGCAGCGCCTTTTCCCAATTAAATGGCTCATTTTTGCAGCCACCAGCTACCCATTTGGTTAATGGCACCTTTGGCCCCTATAACGCCCACTTAATGAGGACATTTTCCAGCATTCAGCACTTCCAGATTTTATCAGGCTATTAGTCAAAGCCTTCAGGAGTTTTAGAAAACTCAGTCTGGCGATAGCCTATTCCTCTTCAGTCACCTTATACCACCAATACAGTGGAGGACTATCTGCACTATACCCCCAGAGATGGCATAGGTTGCACAATTATTACAACATGTTTATATCTTTGCTTCCTAACAGAACATTAGCTTGGAGGTCAAGCTTCTTTGCAGATGCATTAACATATAAAACTCAGTAGAAAACTTACAAGCCACGTTGCAGCTTTAAAAAAAAACAGAACTTTTCTTTAATCAGATCAAAGCATTTCACCTTTGGATGCACTGTAAAGTTTATTCCTCTCTTATAAAAGGACTTCACTGAATTTCTGCATGGAGTTTGGATTGGATATTGAAAGCGTATTCTTTTATCTCATCTATTTCTTTAACATGTCTGAATTAACTTGTTTTATTACATACTTGTGACATATGATGAATGCTTTTGCAGTGTTTGAAAGGATTTTGCAAACAGACATGTGGAAACATACAATCAGCGTTGAAGTTCTTTAGCAAATGTGTGTACTGGATTTAGCATAATTTTGTTGTTGAGACATTTCAGAAAAATTCTGTGCTTTAATAACTTTGTATTACAAGTTAATTGCTATACTAATGCATTAAGACCAATTTAATTTGAAACTCAACAGTCCTTAAATGTGCTTATTACTTTAAAACCTTAACACAAATTCAATCTCTACAGAACAGTCTGATGCAAAGAAAACAGACAGCCCCCTCACTCTTCCTCCCCAAATTAATAAATTGTTTAGCCGCGGTAAATGTCTGCATCCATTCTTTAAGGATATAGACTCAAAGCAGCCAGTGCTTCCTGTCTGCCTCCTTCTGGCATAAAGACAACACTGCAGTTGTATTTACGTCTCCACGGGGCAGTAACTGATTAGCAGGCAATGGTAATCGGAAAATTTAAAAACGTAGCCTTGCCAACTGAAGTAGCAAACATCTACTTTACCTATCTGAACTTAAGAGACTAATGTCTCCACAATGTTGACACACTAGTGATGGACCTGCCCTGTGCCAGACGGTTATCAGGAAATATTATGATGAAAGTAATGTAGTTCTGCTTGTGTGCACATGAATTTTATAGTGCTTATAAATAATGTACATATAAAACATAAAATATGAGAGCTCTAACAGACTATCAGTTTCCTACATTAGCCAGAAAAAAAGTTCCAGCCCAAACCCAGTAGACAATGATGTACATGATTGTTCTAAATTAAATAATGAATGCATTATAGGATTGTCTTCCACGATCACTGGGTTTTTCTTTAAGGCTTAAAAAGCAAAGATGGACACAAAGTAGGAAAAAATAATTGCTGAGTGTTTCTCAAAATTAACGGTATATAGTCTGGGAGCTTAGATCCAAAACGAACGTTGTAGAAATATAAGCTACAAAGAGAAATGTACTCAAAAGTTTTTAATTCCATGAAAATAGTTTACAGGTTGAATTTAAAAATCCCCTTCAGACTAAGTAACCTAAACATATGCATGAGCACAGTGCTGCAGAGAAGGAGAAAGCGAAACTGATTACAACAAAAGTGAAACTACCAATCTAATATCAATTAGGGGCAGTAAAAGAGGGGAGGGGGAAATCAGCAAAAATGGTGGAAGGTAAGTTACATTTTAAGCCTTCTTTCATTTTCAAGCATCTAACAGTTTATTGGTGATATAGATAAGGACATGTTCTTTTATAAATATGATTAAAAAAAAAATAACCTGACCATGATGTCCCTTAAACATCAGTTTTTATGCTCCAACTCACTGGCACCAGCAGTTGTGGTAACTGATGTCATGCCAGGAATATTAGATTTTGGTGCTAAGGATGCCATAATACGTACCTTCAACAGCACTTATGTTACACAATTTCAAAGGAAATTAGTGCTGTCCTCCTCCAAAGCAACTGTGAATAGGAGACAAAATATCAAACGTTTGCAAAGCAAGGCAGTGATTTTAAAATACTTCTCAGAAGTTCTTCCTATTTTAAAATTATACATTCAAATGTAAAACCCACTGAACTGTTCTTTTATTTCCATGCAGGCAATACGTGAACTCAGTAATGTTCCTACAATTCATATATCATTTGCTTACCCCCCCCTTTCATTGGACACTCTGTAACCTGTATAATTCAACCACTCTGCATGCCAACAATGTAGCCACAAATATTTCTACTTTAATTCATAAGTAACCAGAATTTATCTCTTTGCTCTTTCATTAACAAGTGTGTCTAAGTCTCACAAACCCAGAACTGAAGCTAATGGATTAACATTTGAATAGAAGCATTACTTACGGCTTGTCTACATGGGAAATTAAGCAGCGAAACTATAGCTGAATAATTAGACTGCTATAGGTATACTGGGAGAACGCCTCATGTGGCATTCTTATTCCAGGATAAGAATGTCCTTTTTTTATATAGCTTAAACTGCGGCCAAAGAGACATTAGATAAACCGGAAAGTCACTCTCTCATTCCAGAGTCTTAGAATTTATTTGATAGTTTTTGTCTTTAAAGTGCTTTAAAAGTACAACCCCCAAAAAAATCTCATGAGAGGTATTAAAATGTTAACCCCAATTTACAGTTAGCAGAATAGACACCAAGTAGCAATCTTCCCAAGGCCACAGAAGACAGTTTCAAAGGCAAACATGGGACTGAGGAGTTCCCGAGAACAGAACAGTCACTTCTACTTGTCCTTGCATACAAGGATGTAGGGCCTTTTCCTGACGCAGCTAAAATTAGTGTGCTTTTAACTGCCTTTCAAAGGATATTTGCGCCATCTTTCACCAATTCTCTGGAGAAAGCAGGTATACTTGGAAACAATGTTAGGCTACTCATCATTCTGAGTGCTCACAGGTTTCAGAACAACTGAATGTAGACGCAGCCTCTTCCTCTCTGCCACCTAATGACACACACATGGCATGACAGCCACAAGTGTAACGCCTCTAGGGGCATGGGACTATTAATATATAGGATGCTGAAGAGAAGTAGCGATTCTTCCACAATAAATGCAAAGCAGCAACAAACAAAAAAGAAATCCGAAGTAGGACCTCAACCATGAGACTGAAATGGACATATATAATCACCCCCTATCCACTTACAAACAGCTGCAGAATTTCATAAGCAGCTCCTCTGAGACAGCTCTCATCTCTCAGCAATCTAAAGAAATGCAAATACCTGCCATTTTGTAGCTTATATCTGTATTTGATTGTAGAGCTGTACATCAAGGATTTCGCTAACTACTTCCAAATTCTGGTCTAGACAAGACATACTAACAGGCTAGTGTAGACAAGGCTGTGTGTATAACCCATGTCAGTTTAACATGTGTTAAAGGCACACCGCCTTGTCTACACTCCAGGCTGTCAACATTGTTAGCAAAATTTCAGAGTAGCAGCGTGTTAGTCTGTATTTGCAAAAAGAAAAGGAGGACTTGTGGCACCTTAGAGACTAACCCATTTATTTGATCATAAGCTTTCATGAGCAACAGCTCACTTCATCGGATGCATAAGTATCGGAAGCTTATGCTCAAATAAATGGGTTAGTCTCTAAGGTGCCACAAGTACTCCTTTTCTTATTGCTAACACATCCTAATTCCTAGTCTAGACAAGGGTTTAGCCGATGGTCTCTGATATATGGAAGTACTATTTAGAATGTACACGGTCTCCATGCTCACCTCATTCCTAGGATGCAGACTTCTTGGACCATGGTATCTTTTGATTGTTCTGCCCAAAAAGACAAAACACACTGTACAGCAATTATCATTCTAAAATTTGACATGAAAAGGAATTATAATTCAAGAGAGATGGAAAGGATGGGATGTTTGGATCTAGGCTATTTCAGAGTTCAGAGAAACAGAGTTGGATTCAGGCTCACCTCTGCAAACATAATGTTCTTGAAAAAATGGAGGGCGGGGGGGGGAATAATGTGCTAGATGGGCGTTTATTTCCATTAAAGAATCCCAGTCTGCAGAGTGAAATATCAGGGCAGGTCCACCTATAATTTTAAAGATCGCCAAATACCGAGTAAATTGCAGTTCACGGAAACACCAGGTCACAATGGTACCTAAACAAAGTTAGAGCTCCCCACTCTTGCTGATCAAAACAGTGAATTTTCACAAAAGACCTTGTTCATCTTCTTTACGCTACTTCAGAACCAATACCACCAGGGGATACCAAATGACCGAAGGGGACTGATACTGGTGGAATACAATACTCATCAATTCTAGGCTGCTGATTCAAATTCAGCTCCAACTGGTAGTACTTAACTAAAATTGGTTCGCCACTAAACAGCTATCTGCTGGTAATGCACAATAGGTTAGACAGCGTCAGTCCAACGTAGGACAAATGTCCACATTGCAAAAGGCATCACCACAATTTGCCCCAATGGAATGGGTAGAGAGACCAATTACCTTCTTGCCCAGAGGTGGACACACTGGGGCAGGGCAGAGAAACTGTCCCTCCTCCTGACATGTGATACCTGCACTTGATAGAAAACTTCTATCTCCACAGCACAACGTAAAGAAAAGAAACAAAATGTCAGGCTGCTAATCATTCTGAGCGCTCATGATTTCAGAGCGCTGAGCGTAGACACAGCCTCTTCCTCTCTGCCACCTGATGACACAAACATGGCATAGCAACCATATCTGCAATGCCTATAGGGGCATGTAGTGAACCTGCATGAAATGATGCTCACCTCAGCTCTAGGAGAAAACCTCTTGCATGTGCAGTATTCACATTTCCACCCCCTGTAAAAACAGCAAAAACACAGAAAATAAATAGAGCATTTGTTATACTCATTTGGACACGCGCTTCAGGGGCCCACTATTTAGGTATCAGTGTGTGGCGGAGAGCAGTTTGGAAAACTAAACACTACAGCCAAACTGAATATAACCTCTTGCTTCTCTTATGAGGATAAAACATGTAGCCCGGGGGGGGGGGGGGGGGGAGCGGGCGCCCTAGGAGCAGACGAGGGACCGGGGACGGGGGGAAGGGGAAGGGAGGCGCCACGAACACGGACCGGGGGGGGGGGGGAGAAGGGAGGCGCCGAGAACACGGACACGGACGGGGGGGGAGAGGGAAGGGAGGCGACACGGACCGGCGGGGGGAGGGAAGGGAGGCGCCGCGAACACGGACCGGGGGGGGGGAGGGAAGGGAGGCGCCGCGAACACGGACCGGGGAGGGGGGAGGGAAGGGGGCGCCGCGGACACGGACCGGGGGGGGGGAGGGAAGGGAGGCGCCGCGGACACGGACCGGGGGGGGGGGGAGGGAAGGGAGGCGCCGCGGACACGGACCGGGGAGGGGGGAAGGGAAGGGGGGCGCCGCGGGTGACCGTTGAGCGGAGCACGGCCCCGGGTCTCTAAGAAGGGAGGGTCCGAGGCAGGGGCCGGCCCCGCTGGGGTGCGGGGTGTCGAGCTCCCCCACAGTCCCTCCAGGGCGAGGGAAGGGCCCGGCCGCTCCTCACTCACCGTCCCTGTGCGGCTCGCCGAGAAAAAGGGGCCGATAGGCCCGCGCCTCCCCCTTATATAGAGCTGCCCGACGGGAGCCCTAAAGGGACCAAAAACCCTGCCCTCCGCGGCCCGCAGCTGCCTCGTGGCCGCAGACACACTCCCCCTGCTGGACAGGAGAGTGAAGTGCAGCGAGTCGGCTTCAGGGGCCCAGGGAGGGGGCGGAGGGGAATGGGAGGAGGAAGAGGGGAGGAAGCGGAGAAGAGGAGAATCAGCAGAGGGAGGGGGGCAAGGCAAAAAGAAAAGAGGGGGCCAATATGGTCAACCTCCAGCATTCAAAAAGCATGAGCCTAGCTCTGTTCAACAGCTAAATACATTCAAAATAGCCTGTGTGTTTGTATTGCTCCTTCTGGTGTCTGAGCCTATTCAGCTCACATTTCCCAGCTTCCTTCCCCAGCCATGCAGGCTAGACACACAGGTTTCCTTTAAAAAAAATAACTACAATGGCGAGAGGCTCAGTGAATCCCATGACTCCACAAGATGGAGCTTTAAGAGAAACACCAAGTATCTCAAGAGCTGACAACACTGGAAAGGGGTCTGTAAAGGCAGGGGACGAAAGGAAGGGAAATGGGGAGGAGATCAGCCTTGGGAAGGAACGAGAAGTGGGGTAAGGCTGGATTAGAGACCGATTCCTGTCCAGGAAGTGATTTTACCCCTGGAATATCTCAGTGTGCATGCATATGAGGAGAGCGCTGCAATGAGGCTGATAGACTCAGAGTGAACGGGAAGCTAGTCTGGTAAGCTTGAGTAAGACCTGTGCATCGTTTCCATATTCAAGGTGTGCGCAGACATAGGACCATATAGGTAACAGTGATTACTAAACACACCTTCCTCTTGAAATGAACAGGGACGCTGGTTTAAAAAGCAATGGCACACAGAGACCACTGATCAAATTGTGCTTGTCCAAGTCAAACACAGATCTTGCCACTGGCGTTAAAATAAACGGATTGTTTCAAATGCTAAGCTGAGAACCCAGTCTTTTCATAATATAGGCTGCACTTCACAAAACACCTAACCATGTGAGTCGTTCAGTGAGAAATCAATGTTAAGCTAAAAAGTTAAGCCCAAGCTTAAGAGCTTTGGTGAACTGGGGCCTTCCAGCACCCATATTTTCCTTCCACATAAAGCAATAGAGTTATAAAATAAAAAATAAAACATCATAACTTCTAATGGAATGCTCTAACCTTTAAAAATATCACACAGTTGTCTGAATAATGCTTTAGTTATTATTGTTACAAGCAACACTTACAATCACTGTGATGGGAAAAGACTGGAGAAAAAAATATTTCCCGCTAGTTTAGGGCATGGCTACACTTGCAGTTGTAGAGCGCTGGGAGTCAAACCAGCCTTCGGAGACCGCAGCAGGGAAAACGCTGCCAAGTGTTTACACTCTCTGCTGGAAGCACACTGATGTGGCCACATTAGCAGCTCTTGCAACGCCACAAAGACCAGTGCATTGTGGTAGCTATCCCAGCATGCAAGTGGCTGCAGTGTGCTTTTCAAATGCAGGGGGTGGGGTGGAGTGTAGTGTGACAGGGAGTGTGTTGTGTGTATGTGGGGGGAGAGAGAGAGAGAGTTTTTGGGGGGCTGAGAGCGTGTCAGCATGCTGTCTTGTAAGTTCAGACAGCAACAGACATAGATAAACATGATATGTTGGGGAAAAGTCAATATAGTTTTTGCAAAGCTGAAACCAGGCCTCACCAATCTATTAGAATTCTCTGAGGGAGTCAACGAGCATGTGGACATGGGTGATCCAGCTGACATAGTATTTTTGGACTTTCAGAAAACCTTTGACAACTAAGCAGTCAAAAGGATAAGAGGGAAGGTCCTCTCATGGATCAGTAACTGGCTAAACATTAGGAAAAGGTAGGAACGAGTGGTAATTTTTTACAATGGAGGGAGGTAAATAGCGGGGTCCCCCAAGGATCTGTACTGGGATCTGTGATATTCAACATATTCATAAATGATCTGGAAAAATAGGTGAACAGGTGGCAAAATTACAGTCAATACAAAATTACATAAGAACAGCCCTATTGGGTCAGACTAAGGGTCCATCTAGCCCAGTTTCTTGTCTTCTGACAGTGGCCAGTGCCAGGTGCCCCATAGGGAATGAACAGGTAATCATCAAGTAATCCATCCCCTGTCGCTCATTTCCAGCTTCTGGCAAACAGAGGCTAGGGACACCATTTTACTCAAGAGAAGTTAAGTCTAAACCTGACTGCAAAGAGTAAAGTGATATCCCTAACCTGGGTGACTGGGCAATAAAATGGCAGATGACAATTCAATGTTGATAAGTGCAAAGTAATGCAAAATGGAAAAAATAACCCCAACTATACATACAAAGTGATGGGGTTTAAATGATCTGTTACCACTCAAGAAAGAGATCTCAGAGTCATTGTGGACAGTTCCCTAAAAATATCGCTCAATGTATAGCAGCAGTCAGTAAAGCTAACAACATTATAAACCATTAGGAAAAGGAGAGATAATATAGAAGAGAAAATATCATAATGCCACTATATAAATGCATAGTATGCCCATACCTTTAATATTGCCTGCAGTTCTGGTCGCCTCATCTCAAAAACTCTATATTACAATTGGAAAAAAAGTGCAAAGAAGGGCAACAAAAATTGTTAGGGCAATGCAATAGCTTCCATGTGAGGAGAGATCAAAACGACTGTGATATGAGTAGGGGGCAGGGTAATGATAGAGGTCTATAAAATCATGAATGGTGTGGAGAAAGTGAACAAGAAAGTATTTATCCTTTCCCATAACACAAGAACCGGGGGGAGGGGGGCGAGGGGGGTCACCCAATGAAATTAATAGGCAGCAGCTTCAAAACTAACAAAGTATTTCTTCACACAACGCACAGTCGACCTGTGGAACTCGTTGTCAGGGGATTTTGTGAAGGCCAAAAATAAAAGTGGGTTCAAAAAAGAATTAGCTAAATTCATGGAAGATAGATTCATCAATGGCACTTAGCCAAAATGGTCAAGACCATAACCCCTGACTCCATGTGTCCCTAAACCTCCAACTGCCAGAAGCTGGGACTGAACAACGGGATGGATCACTTAATAATTGCCCAGTTCTGTTCACTCCCTCTGAAGCATCTGGCACTGGCCCCTGTCAGAAACAAGATACTGGGGTAGATGGACCATTGGTCTTACCCCGTCTGGCTGTTCATATGATTTTCAAGCCACAGAAATGGGCCTGGATCACCCAGGGGCAGGTGTAGAACCTAAAACTATTTAACTCATTTTTTAAACTCACCAGATTTCAAGCTGATAGGGACACTTTAAAGAGTAGAGATTTTACCAGCCATATTTTAGGATCATATGATACAATTTACACTCAGCCTATGCCATAGCACCTGACTCAGACTTCGCACTGATTAGCCTATAAGACACCTTTTCTCTGCCCCAACCAATGACATTCAGTCAGTTTATATTTTTGTAAGGGATTTCTCATCTTTCATTTAATAAAACACACTTGCATGTGAAAAAAAAAGGAATATTTTACTTTTTCATATGGAGAAGAGAAGTGGGAGGAGAGGGGATGGGAACTTTAACACAGTTAAATTCAGATCACAGTAAGTTTTGTGTGTGGGGCGGAAATCACAAGACATATGCTTTACACATTCTTCCTCGAAGAAGAGGCAAATACAAGCAAACCAAACTGGATATGTCTGTCTTATTTAGCCTTGCATTGTTTTAGGTGCTCTGGATGAAGTTCCTTTTGCAGGGGGGGAAGCGGCACCCACAGGTGACTGATATTGATTGACAAATCCACTCTTTTTTTTTTGGTTCGGCAAGTTAAGAATCACAGATGAGCACAGATGTGTAATGGCAGAGCGGGGGCTGCCATTACCATGGGATCTCCTCCTCAGGAGCAGGCCAGGGACCTCTCTCCCAGGACCCCAATCCAATTCTCATTGAAGTTCATGTTAATATTTCCACTGCCTTGAATGGGAGCTGGATCAGACCCTTACAGAGCTAAGGTGGGAGCATTCCCATCCCCTCCTCCCTCCCACCCAAGCCCTATGCATGTTGCCGGCAAGTCAAAGAAGCCTGGTAGGTAACCTGCTGAGTACTGAACACCATCGTGGTACGGATGAGCTAGCAGATTTTGCACTAGGGCTAGTAAGAGCACGAGGCTGATCTAACTGCTTTCGGCTTTGTTTTGCAGTCCATACAAAACCTCCATCTGCTTCCTTTTGTTCTTTGCCCGGGTAATGGTCATCTTAAAGAGCCTGCAATAGAGCTCCACCGCCAGGGGGCTGTCATCGTTCCCAGGAATGGGGTACGTGATGATGGAGGGGTTGCAGTTAGTGTCCACCACTCCCACAGTGGGGATGTTCATCTTGGCGGCATCCCGAACAGCCACGTGCGGCTCAAAGACGTTGTTCAGGGTGCTGATGAAGATGAGGAGGTCGGGCAGGCGAACCCCGGTCCCGTACTGGATGTGGGCATTGGTCAGCAGGCCACCCTGCCAGTAGCGGGTGTGGGCGTACTCCCCGCAGTCCCTGGCCGTGACTTCCACCAGGTGGCCGAACTGACGGTTGCGGCAGACGAAGAGGATGATCCCTTGGCGGTAGGCGACGTGGGCTGTGAAGTTGAGAGCCAGCTGGAGGTGTTTCATCGTCTGATCCAAGTCTATAATGTCCTGATCAAGGCGACAGCCAAAAATATATGGCTCCATAAACCTGGGGAAGGAGAATGAGACATAAAGATCTCGGAAAAATTTTATTTTTGACTGACATTTCCAAACGCTGTCTGTCCCATAGAAACTCTCCTACATCAGGGCATCAGCCAGCTTCTAAACAATGGGAGTCAAGGAGAAAATTTCTCAGGGGGCAGGTTATTCCAAAATTGCCTTCTTCTGAAGGTTCTGCTGCTAGCCACTGTCAGAGACAGGCCACTGGGCTAGACGGACCTTGGGTCTGATGCTGTCGGGCAATTCCTGTGTTCCATTTAAGGGAAAGGGCAGTTAAGGCCCTGATCAACCAATCAGATCCCTGCACCATGCCCTGATAGACAGGGGATTGACCAGGTGGATCTGGTTTTATTTTGGTTGTAAACCAACTGACCGGCCACTCAACTCATTACACTGGAATCCCAGAATATATGCAATATGAAGAAACCTTCGGGTGCCTAAAACTTTTTGCTTCCAGTGCTGCATGCCTGTGTGACAGCAAATAAAATAACCTTCCCTGTGCTAGGACAGTCAAACACAGACTTATTGTCAAAGTCATTAGGAAGGAGCCACCTTACAAGCACTTTATAGGGAAAGTAATCCTTCCCTTCTTTTTATTAAAGGCCGAATTCCCAAATTGAGGGAAATACACCCATTGACTCAGTGGGTATTGGCTCAACCCCAAGGCTCCACGTCAAAGTTGTGTAACTTACCTATGACGACAACCTTTTTTATGTCCCAAGTGCACTCTGGCATCAAAGAGATCTTTCAGGGAGAAGAGCTCTTTCACGTTGAAGAAGTCCGGGTGTCTGAGGGGCTCGGTTATAAGCTTGTCATTAATAACTGAAAGAAGGACAAAAAGAAGTTTGAGCTCTGCCCCCAGTTTGTGCAGCACAAAGGTTTGGTTGTGGTGTGAAAAGAAGAGCATTGTTTAGTCCTGGATTGCCAATAACACCACAATTGGGCATGTATATGGCGATTAATGTGTACTTTCAGCCTAGTATCTTAGTGCTTTACGCTTTAAGACTGATATTATTTCTCTCTCATTACATACAGGGAACCAGAGGTACAGAGAGGTTAAGTGACTTGCACAAGGTCTGGGAGTCTGGAAATCTGTGGCAGAGCCAGGAATAAAACCCAGGAGCCATGACTCTCAATCCCAAACCTTAGCCACACAGTGTTCCTTCCTCTCCTAGGTGCGTGTTCAGATGGGTTAGAGGGGAATCTAATGTACTGAAAATCACATGCATATACAATCTGAAAACTAAAGTAGCCAACAGGGCTTAGAAGAGATGCTCATTAACTTAGCAATACATTATCTTCTGGCTTAAAGCAAACCTGGTGGCTATCAGAGAGGGATGGCTGGCTTAACTCAACTTGCTTTGGACAGTATAAGCCAAATAGACTGGTTGCTTTCACTCTCCTAAAGTAGGTGGGGTAAGGACTCTTACCATTGGGATCCACCTGCTGATTCGCTTCCGGGGCAAGAAGAGTTCCATAAAGTCGACTGCTAAGCTGTGAGGTTCTGGGAGCAGCTTTCCCCAGTGACGGAAAGCAGCTGAACCTTGGTACGACTGACAACAGAGAGAAGAGAGAAATTAAACGAAAGCCTTAAACAGATGGGCAGTAAAATAAAGACACCAATAAGAATACTTTGCAACACCCATCTGCAGAAGAACCCAAAGCACTCCACAAACACTAAGGCTTCCCAAGTCCTTGAAACGTAGGTTAATATTAGACCCACTTCCCAGAGGCAGAAACCGTGGCAGAGCGTGGAGAAGTGGCTTGCTCTGGGCCTCTCAGTGTTAAGAGCCTAGTTTCCTAAGAAAGATCTAAGAACTTTCTCTCCTCCAGCTGGGCTTTGGGAAGTAGGAAGTGTGCACACCAGATGGCAGGGAGCATGGGGCAGGCTCTGCATCAGGGATACTGGGACCTCATAACAAGTCAAGCAGCACCCCTTCCTCTAGCAAAGCAAGGAGCAGACACCGTGCCAAGGGAGGGGGTAGACAGCAGGGGGCTCAGGCTTAGAAGCTCTGCTAGGGAGAAGAAGGGGGATGCTGCTACAAAACCAGAAGCTGGGGAAGTTGGTTGCTTGATTTTGGTAACACCCAGAGGGGCTGTTTCCCGGGGGGCTAGACTCCAGCAGCATAACCCCGCAAGAGGCAAGTCTCCAGATCGTCGGGGGGATTCTTAAAGCCCCCGCTCCTGGAATCAGGAGAAGCTCAGCTCACACTGAAAGACAAGTGTCTAGCTTCTGTCACCCACGTGCGCCCGCAAGGCTCAGACACCAGAGAGCAAAGGATCAGGCTCCATTTTTTAAAATGAGCTTTAAACAAACAAACAAAAAGACCTCCGGATTTTTTAAGCCACTGGGGATTTTTACATGCTTGATCTTGGCAGGACTGCCCCAGCCGGAGACACACCAGGCCCAAGGCCGAGAGAGGCACCTTGCCCAGCTCGCCTGGGCTCGGACCCGCCCGCCTGTCCCGCCTGCACCCCGAGTCTTTGCACGCAGAGCAAGCCCGGGCTCCCTGCCTCACCCGCCTGCAGCAGCCTGGCAGCGGCCATCTCCGGAGCGGGGCGGCAGCAGCAGCAGCTCCGTGCACGGAAGGGCAGCTTAGGCTGCTGCACCGGCCCTTTCCGCTTCCTCCAGCCACAGCCGGGCCCCCTTCCCCGGGGCGGGCGCGGCGCAGCTCCGCCTGCAGCTGCACAGGCCCCCGGTCCTCCCCTGCCTGGCGGGGGCAGCCGCCAGCTGGGAGCCCGAGCTGCCCGCCCTGCCGCGGGCTCGTCTGCCGTGCTGGGGCCGCTCTGATCACACCCCCCGCCCGCAAGGAGTCTGCAAATGCCCGGAGCAAAGGCAGACCCTGCAAAAACCTGCCCTCACAGAGCAGGTGTTGGCTGGGATTCCCAGCCGGGACCTACTGGGTGTCTACAGGGACCCGAACAGGTGTGAAGCTCTAGAAACAATCACAGGTGCTGGAACTAGGGGTGCTGCAGCACCCCCCGGCTTGAAGTACTTTCCATTATGTACAGGGTTTACAGTTTGGTGCAATGGCTCTCAGCACCCCCCCCCCCCCCCAAAATGGTTCCAGCACTGCTGGAAACAACAGGGTTTATGGGTGAGCAAATGACTATTCCTCAGATAAACCCTCCCCTTTTTTTTTGTTTTGAAATTATCAGTATTTATTATTTGGACTGCGATAGCCCTTAAAAGCCCCAGTCACAGATAAGGACCCCATTGTGCAAGGCACTGTGCAAACACAGAAAAGATAGAACGTCAATTCTTCGCAGCAGGAACGAAGCAGAAGAGAAAAAACAACAGGTGCAGACAGACCGGGGAGTGCAAGGAAACAATGAGAAAATATAAGTCAGCAAATGCACCTTCATTGCTTCACTTCAGCTGGGGTCTCTCTCTCCTACATGAACAAATAAAAAAGGAGTCATGCAAAATACTTTCGGGAAAACTACTGAACGAGGGGGACTGAAAGTAACAGAATTAAGGGCTTGATCCTGCAACCACTGCAGGGCTTAGGAGGAGCTAATACTTTCACAGCCCCCAGCGGTGTGCATGGAAAGTGTTTGTAAGCTGGACTCTTGTCTAGGAAACAGTACTGTGTCTTTAAGTGCCTCTCTCTTTGTTGCCAAGTTACAGCCTGTCTCCTAGCAACATAGTTTGTTACTTAAGCACCCTGTTTCTTGTGTGCCTGGTCAATTTCCTGCCTCTTTGTCCTGCCTGGACCAGAGTCCTAAAAAGGTCTTAGCTCAAAATGTCCCAGGGGCATCTGCCGGAAACATTCACCACCTGCAACAAAGAGGCAGAGGAGGGTCGGTCCCAGAGAACCAGTGACTACTACAGAGTTAATGACAATTTGCCAGCCAGGTTCAACCACCCAGGATGGTTTCGGGGCTACAGGTGAGGAAGCTGATATAACTTGTGTGATGAGCAAAAGCAGCATGCTGAGAGAGAGGGAGGGGTTCACGGTGCACCCAAAGGTTGCCACACTTTGCAACAATGACCTGAGATCCTGTAAAGTCATCATGACCTCTGCATGATTGTGAAAATGATACCCATTTTAAGGCCTGAAGGACCTCTGGGATGTGTCCCATTACCTACAGCCAGATTAGCCATCATGGCCAGAGGTCCCAAGCATGCTTTGCTCCATCTTCATTCAAGCCCCAGCTCTCCAAAGCCAAGCATGCACAGAATTGTCCTTGTTCTTAAATTCCTCCAGGAACCTTGTCTTGCTGTTTCCTTTGCAGACATTTCCTCTCTGCCCCATCAGTCTCACTGCTGGTGAGCTGCTTAGCAGCCCATGTCACTTAGAAATGCCTTCTCATCTCTTCCCATCTTATCCATTCCCTACCTCATCCCAAAAGCATCTTTTCCCTTGTCTGCACTTCTTAATGTCCATCTGTTGCTGTAATTTATCTCCATAAATTACTATTTAACTCTGTACAGTGCTGTGGGATACAGTTTGTATGAAAGAAACCATACCAAGTAAAATTACATTCTATTGTGTAGAACGAATGAGGCCCATCCCAGGTACAGGACCACCAATCAGATCTATGGAAGCAAAGCACCTACTGTACATGAAATGCCGGTAAGTATATGCAGCACAAGGCTAATTACAGTGTGTATCAATCTTACCTCTTAAGTGAACTCTAGGTACCTGTTGAGGAATAAGTTATTTGCTTTATCTGTAGGAGTACTTTAAAAAAAACTCAGCTACGCTTTTTGCTTTGTTCCTTCCTTTAAAAAACGATCAATGCACTTTTTTGCGATGATACATTACCTTCCTTACAGGAGTATCTAGCCCTTGCAGTATTTTAAAATGCATATATTATCCTGTGGGCACTGTTGATTCACCCTCCTCTGCCCAGATATCACCTGCTCTTGGCATGAGCAAACTGGGTAGGGAAACGGTAGGTGCGTGGCACAGCCAACCAGAATACAGGCACAGAATAATACTGAAAAATAGTCAAGGGAAATTGGCCATGAAGAATTCTGATATTCAAAATTTATTTTACCCTTATGTCTTTTGTTAAATTTAAGGGTTTTTGATGGTGGCCAGCAGTGGTTCAAATTTAGGTCTCCTGTATAAGTCCCAAGAGGCTAATTTTTCTATTGCTATTCAAATTTGCATTTCATGTTGCCACTCCAGCCACTTACAAAGGAAGGAAAATTACAGTAATATAATTCATGAAAAACTGAGGGGGACCATAGTTCTATTTTAATATTCTAGGTCTCAGGGGATCTTTGAAATCAGAAGGTGGGATTTTCAGAAGCCTCTAAATTATTTTCCGTGAGACACGTGCTCTCATTCACTTAGGGGCTTTTGAAAAATCCCATCCAGAAGCTTCGGTATCTCCAGGCCATGAATTTTACAGCATAGGAAGGTTAGAAAGAAAAGGCTCAGTAGTTTAAAAGGGGGCAGATGCAATGATCTAGAATCTCTTTGGAAACACACTGGAGCAGATCAATGATTTTTTTAATTGGACACAATATAGTCCCCTCCTAAACAAACACGGAGAGTTAATCTCTGGCCACTTGTGGCTAAAGTCTGATGGCAAAAGAAAAGGGTGTTTATTCACAAACACCCCCACAACTACTATAGTATACTACTATTACGTAAAAAAACAACAACAAAAACCAGAAAAGCCAAGTTGGAACACAGGGATTGCTAAAGTGAAAAAATAAACCATAACCAAAACCACACTCAGGGAAATGTGTGATGATCAGTGCCTGAAGCTTCAGACGGTGGCCCGAGCTCTTCTCCCCACTCACACATAATTCCTCTATCATAGAAAGGTATACTAATACGCTATGTAAGAATTTCAGTTTCTGAATTTAGCTGAAGTTGGTGCAACATCTCTGGTCTGCTCCATTGGTGTGCTGCAAAAACCAGCACCCTTGCAGCAAAATTTAGGACAAGTTTCCAAGAGTACAAAGACCCTTGATTAAAAATACGCAAACGGATGGATGTGTAGGTTTTTTTTCCTGACCATAGCTGGTGTTTGGTTCATGCTCTGAAGCATGAAGGTTCAGCGCCCTTGTAATTATACCCTAGCTCTTGTAAAACACAGAGATGCTATTCATATGGGTATCTAAAATATTTCCTCTTGCTTTTCTCCCCCACAGACCTCCTTTAACATTACCTCACACGCATTTTCGAAACATCTCGGAAAGTGTGGCATGTATAGGAATAACGGGCTCAACACCTACATAGACAAAAGTGACGTGACTGGCATAGATAACTTTATCACCTTCTACGACAGACTCAACTTTCATCCCAGTTACAATGGCAGTGGGCCATCCCACTGTGAATAATGTTTCAGCTGTGGTGTCTGCAGTATGACACTGTTCTTCAGTTTACTGTCTACTGCCTGGTTAAAAAAAACAACAAGCAAACAATAGCATTGACATTTCCTTAGGATTTCTGCTTCTTTCCTAAATCAGCTCCTAAGACTCACTTTGAAAGCATGACTGGAAACAATATGCTCCTGCACTGAGTGATGTTAAATACACTTCCGTCTGCCACATTAGCTTGCAGGATGATTCATCACAAGAAACACAGGCTTCTGTTACAATAATGCTACATGCCATTAAAGCATCATAAAGCTGCAATGGGAATCTTTTATTTTAAAGTCTGACTTCAGGTTACCCTGCTGAAGGACAGCCTAGATCCAATGTTAGCATAACGTAGTAGAAAAGGTCATGAAAACAGAATAAAATGGGTAAATGAGCAAGGATGAAAACTCTGTCATTGAGAGAGTAATAAGAGCAAAATGTTGCTTTAGAGCAGGTGTGTTAATAAAGAAAATAATCCGGAAAAGTGTTTGTTGTTTTCTTAAAATGCCTGTGAACATAAGTGAATTTAATGCTGGTTAAACATAAATGGATGGCCCCACTATACACTACAGCACAGGCAGGCAGCCAGCACACACACACTTTCCCATGCCATGCTGCCCTGCCAGTGTGCTTCAGGATTGCCCAGCAAACCCACTGTCGGGTATGTCAGAGAAGTTCTATGGCCCATTCCTATCTTGGCTCTCTGCTAAGATTGCCAAGTAAGGCTACACTTATTCATAGATTCCAGGGTTAGAAGGGACCGTTGTGATCATTAGTCTGACTTCCCGTATAACACAGGCCAGAGAACTTCCTCAAAACAATTCCTAGAGCAGATCTTTTAGCAAAACATCCAATCTTGATTTGAATTCACCAAGGCCCTTGGTAAATTGCTCCAAGGGTTAATTACCTTCACTGTTAGAAATTTACACCTTATTTCCAGTCTGAATTCATCTAGTTTCAACTTCCAGTGAACCATCTTTCTCTGCTATATTGAAGAGCCCATTATCAAACATTTGTTCCCCACGAAGGTACTTATAGACTGTGATCACATCACCCCATAATCCTCTCTCTGCTAAGCTAAATAAATTGAGCCTCTTCAGTCTATCACTATACGTGCTTTCTAACCGTTTAATCATTCTCATGGCTCTTCTCTCTCCAATTTATCAACGTCCTTCTTGAATTGTGGACACCAGAACTGGACACAGTACTTCAGCAGTGGTTGCAACAATACCTAATACAGAGGTAAAATTGCCTCTTTACTCCCACGCAAGGTTCCCCTGTTTAAGCCTCCAAGAATCACATTAACCCTTTTGGCCACAGTGTTACACTGAAAGTTCACATTCAGCTGATTATCCATCACCACGACCATTTTCAGTCTCTGCTTTCGAGGACAGAGTGTCCCATCGTCCAAATATGGCCTGTGTTCTCAGATGTCTACATTTCCATTTAGCTGCATTCAGATGCCTTCTGTCTGTGCCCAGTTTACCAAGTGATCCAGATCGTTCTGTATCAGTGACCTGTCCTCTTCATTATTTACCACTCACCCAATTTTTGTATCATCTGCAAACTTTGAGAGTGATGGTTTTATGTTTTTTTTCCAGGTCATCTGCAAAAATATTAAGCCCAATGGGGCAAGAACCAATCCCTGCCAGGGCCTACTAGAAATGCACACTGTTCAGTGATGATTTCCACATTTACAGTTACATTTTGAGACTTATCTGTTAGCCAGATTTTAATCCATTTAATGTGTTCCATGTTAATTTTATATCATTCTTGTTTTTTTAATCAAAATACCATCCGTTATCAAGTCAAACACCTTACAGAAATCTAGGTTTATTACATCAATACTGTTACCTTTATCAACAAAACTTGTAGTCTCATCAAAACAAATATCAAATTAGTTTGTCAGGATCTATTTTCCACAAATCCAGGTTGATTTGCGTTGATATTACCCTACTTTAATTTTTTATTACTCCCTTCTTTAAGTCATTATTAATCGAGTCCTGTATCAGCCCCTCTATTATGCTTCCTGGGATCAATGTCAGGCCTATAATTAACTAGGTGATACCATTTATTTTTTAAATATTGGCACAACATTAGCTTTCTTCCACTCTTCTGGAACTTCCCCTGTGTTCCAAGACTTACTGACAATCAACATTAATGGTCCACAGTTCTCCTTGGCCAGCTCTTTCAAAACTCTTGGATGCAAGTCATCTGAACCTACTGATTTATAAATGTCTAACTTTAGTAGCTGCTGTTTAACATACTTAGTTACTGCTGGAGTAGAAATATTTCATCATCTGTTTTTTCCTAATATGGAACAGACATGTTTATTGAACACAATCCGTAACTGTTACAATGGTGACTTCTGTGACATGGACACTTGTCTACTGCAAGAAACAGAGTAGTTTAAATGGTACCAATAACTTGAGCTGATACTGCTTAGAAGTACATAAATTGGCCATAAAATATTTCCTACAGTGCAGTAAGAAGTACCAGATTAACAAAAATGCTTCAACATTAACCTTAAAAGTCAAATCTTGTCCTGTTAAACTACGTTTTTCCCACTGCAGGAAAAAAAAATTACCTTGCTTGATAACAGGACATTTCCTATGAGGATTTGACAAAGCAACTACAAAATTAAGAGGTTTAAGGTGGAATTGTGTTCATAAACCTGAGAAAAGGTATCATCGGGGAAATTTGTTTGAGAGAGACTTAAGGAGCTAAACCCTTAAATTTAGGTTTGGAGATACAAAAATTTTAAAAAAATTTCATTGTAAACAGTTTCAATAGCTTCTGTCTAGGAAACAAACATGTTTCACGATGGAACTGGAAAAAAATCACTATAGAATTTCAAGAATAAACTTTTATTAGAAAAAAAGACATCCATTAACACACATTTAATATGGTTAAATGATATTTGGGTGTTCAGGTAGAAATGGTTACTGAACCCCTTCCAGTCAACATATAGTTACTTATAATTAAGTGGCAGTTCAGTTAACGTAGCTTACAACAAAGATAAACATATGCTTAATAGCCTTTTCTTCAATCGCAAGTGATCCTTTCAACTCTTGGCTCATGTACTGCATGGTACTAAAGGATGAATGAATTTTTGAATCTTTGTTTCTATATTGTTTAGAATCTGACCAGGATATCTCAAGATCCATGTTTTCCCAAAGATAATAACCCTTTAAATAGTATTGTTAACTGATTTGTTATTCCTTCCTGTCTCAAGACTATAATTTCTTAATGGATTATTCAAACAAGGGGAATGAATCCTAGAGAAATATTTTCTAAAGTTTTATTGCAACAAATGCAGTTATACAACCAATGAAACTGCATCATTAATATATAAATCACACTCCATTGCAGTGCTAACTTCGCAATGTATTTCTACCTATAGTTCTCAAGAAATTTGTTTGTAGATGAGACACTATCCTAGTTTAACAGTGCAACACACTGGTAATATAGAACTAAAAGCTAGGAGAAATTTCCAGCAGCTGGCTAAAAAGAATATTTGATATAATGGATGAGATGTGCCCAGGTAATACTGCAACCTCTATTTTTCATAACATTTTCTTAAGAAAACGTCACTTTGACTTGGATCATTTTATACTGTCTTATAAAACCAAATTAATCAAGCATGACAGGGCTAAGTTTTCAAAAATACAAGCAAGGCAAGATTACTTTGTTACTAGTTAACAAGATCAATAATGAAACACCTGAAATATGAAACTGAATAGTAAGTCTAATAAAGGCATGAACATAGAATAAACAAATACAAATATATGGTGCCTGATCTAAAACCTATTGTAGTTCTCATTGACCTCAAAGAGTTTTGGAGGAGGCCCATGGTGTAGTTCCACTATTACACCACACAAGATTTGGTGATCTCAAATACAGAAATACCTGGCAAAATTCTGCCTTCATTTATAATCTGTCAATGGAGTTGAACAAATATTATAAAGCAAGGGCTGAAATTCGCCCAAAGGACTTATATTTTCAATATCTATCACATGGCTTCCAAAGAAAAACCGAAGTAATTTAGAAAAAAAAATCAACCCTCTGCTTTCTCATTTACCACTTCTCTTCTAGGACTTCAGGGCATGTCTTCATTTCCTCCATTGTTTCCAATTTTTTGCCTGAAATACAAAGTCAACACAGTGCAGAATAAATAAGAATCAGTTCTGGCAATTTTACAGAATTTTACTGTTTCATCCACTTTTTCTACCGATGAGATTAGTTTACAGAGAGGACTGCCTCTTTTTAAAAAACCACTCACATTTACCTGCCCATATCTCTCTACCACATACTTTCTCCACAATTTTTAAAATCTCACCTAAAAAAAAAATCTTTTCTCTTTTGCCTAAGCCTCTTCCCTGGTTTTGGTATTTGAGCTGAATGTTTCACTTTGTGAGATAAACCATATGTAATAATCTTCCACAACAGGCTGCCTTGCATAATTTAACTTTGTAGCACATTTGTGGATACAGTTTGTATTAAAGATGCTATGCAAAATAAAATCATATAGTAACGAATTGTAGTTGTGTACCATTATAAAGAGCGGGAACACCCCCCCCCCCCCTTTTAGATGAAATACTACAAGTTGCACAACTAAACTCATCCCTCCTTTTAGGAAACAAAGTGCTTATCCCTTCATTTTTAGAATCAAACATCACCATGACCAGGGTATTTGGATAATATTCATGCTACCTGGTAAAATGTCTAACTATCGTGGGAAAAGCCTTGACTAGCTGTTTTAAACAGCAAATGAGCTACAAAATTGTCTGCAGAAAGCCTACTAGCTGGTTTTAAAATTACAGGTGGTGTCATAGTGAAGTCCAATACATACGTTATTTTGTTATTTCCATTGCTTTTCAACCCTGAGAAACAAGTCAGTCTTCTTTTCTTTGTTTTTTTGCCTTCAGAAACATGCAGCACACTTTCAGAAAGCACCAAAAAATAAAACAAAACAAATAACCCCTTTCATTCCTAGATTAAACATACCAACATGATTTAGGGGGGAAAGTCTTTTCGTTGGGCTATGAAGAAAATTGCCCATACGAAAACAGAGTGTTAGGGCATCTGATTTTTTCCCTAGGTATTTACTCAGGTTTTAGTCTAAAAATTTTACACTGTATTTATCACAGGGATGCTGTTGATATGCTTGGTACTAAGCTACAATGTTGACATCAGATGTTGTAAATTTACATTTTCTCTAAGCGTGACTAATCCAGAATTTACTAGTATAACATTTTTTCAGTCTCTGTAAACAGTTGTTCCAAACATTTTAAGACAACCCTTCATTTCCTCTCCACCCCCACAAGACAAATATTACAAATCTCTCTGCCTAGTTATTTTTCATGAGCCCATCAGTGTTGTATCAGAGTTTGAAATATAGCTAACACTTAACCTTTACCAGTTTTAGATGAATGGAGTACTGGTGAAAAATGCTGTATTGACAGCCTTGGGGACTGTAATCCT